CCCATATATTGCATATAATTGCGAATAAAACGCTGGGAAAATTTTATATTATTTTAATTTTTTAATTTATTTAATTCATTTAATTCTTAATTCGCTTAATTCCCTTAATTCCCTTAATTCACTTAATTCCCTTAATTCCCTTACTTCACTTAATTCCCTTAATTCCCTTACTTCACTTAATTCCCTTAATTCACTTAATTCTTAATTCATTTAATTCTTAATTCATTTAATTCTTAATTCATTTAATTCTTAATTCATTTAATTCTTAATTCATTTAGTTTCTTAATTCATTTAATTCTTAATTCATTTAGTTTCTTAATTCATTTAGTTTCTTAATTCATTTAGTTTCTTAATTCATTTAGTTTCTTAATTAATTTAGTTTCTTAATTTATTTAATTTCTTAATTTATTTAATTTCTTAATTTATTTAATTTCTTAATTTATTTAATTTTTTAATTTATTTATTTTTGTTTTCAGAGGTTGATGTCAGACTCAAAGACAAAACCCATGTGCTTGCCTCTAAACCAATTACTGCAACACACAAGTTATAGGATCTCATTTTATTGTATTCAGCTTTGCGTCACATAAATATACTAATCTTAATTAAAGCAATCTGCATAGATGACATCCACTAGTTCCTTATTCAACATTTGTTACAAATAAAATTAAATTAAATAATTTTGTTAAAAACTTCCATCATATGTACACTAGATTGCAATACACATTTTGAATTTCTCTGCTACAAAAACATTTCCTCAACTTCTCTGTAAAGACTACAGTAAAATCTGTCCAAGCCAGAATCAAAATGGACAAAAAAGTATTCTGGTTTTGGGAGGTTCCTGTTTTACCTGGGGTTGTCTACTTCATGACACCTGTTATATTGATATTTCCATCCTGAAACTAGTAAAGTACATGACTTTATCGTAGTATAAAAGATGTTAAAATATAAAATATTTATGGAAGAAATCACCAATAAATTAAACATATTTCTGACAATTGAAAAGAAAATCTTCACAACTTGTGCACTAAAATAATATCATTGTTTTCAACATTAATCTAGAGTTCTTTCCTTTTCTATTATGTTTTCAAAAATTGAAAAACTAATATTTGGAATTTTGTTTTTTCCAACCATTGCTAAACTGGTTGTGAAACAAAAATACACCACCTCACTCTATAGCCAGACTGCCTGCCCTCTTTACAATGCACACTGCATGCCCAGAGTACTAAATCTTTCTGATACCCTCCCATGGCCTTGACCAATGCGGCTCTGGGCGAGGAGGTATGATTCTCTTCGTGATGCCGAGAGATGTGTGCACTGTGAACAGAAGTCATGCCTGTACGAATTCCCACACTCAAGAGAGCTGGGAGAGAGCGAATTGCCCTACCGCATACACCTCACAAGACCAATGACCCAAAGGTTGAATTCTACGCTGACAGCTGAAGCCCCTCACCTTCTCTGTCCAGCTTCCACGACTGAAATGCATTTCACAGAGATAGAGAAATTAAAACAGACTTGCAGTGCATTTATTCTATTAAGAGATTCTCGCTTCTCTCTGCCAATTGCATTAAATTCAAAAGAATTCCATCTTATAAGGTTTTCTTTCACTGCAGAACATTGAAAACCCTTCCATTTCCGTGTTGGACAGGTTTTGTTTTATGTTGCCTAAAATGCCATTTAACTTCATGAGTAGGAGAAATTTTCCAGTTAAGGTAGGTTTCTCACTTATACAGGTTCTGGTTTAGACAGATTTTACTGTATATACAAATTCTGTTCAACATTCAGACAAGCCTAAACTTTCTTATTTCTCAATAGCATACATCCAAGACTATTGGAAAGAACTATTTAATCAAACATTGTTACCTTTGAAAGGAAACCTTTATTACCTAGTTTACAGAAACAGCATGGGCAAGGTTCAGGTAGCAGGGTAGGGAGGAGAAGGAGGGTAATCATAAAGATCAGCTATTACTATTCTAATTTCAGATAATTTTAATATTTAATTTATTAATAAAATTCCAAAAAAATAGTTAATAGCAACAAAAATTATATTATTGTTATTGTTATTATTTTTAATACACAGTTACTGTTTCCAGCAGTGATTCTCTACAGTTATCTTTCCATCATCATCAACATCATTATCATCATAATCATCGACATCAACATTATCATTATATTTATGTAATACAAAGAGATCGAATAGAAATGCTATTAAATAAGTTTGAGTAGAATTATATTGTGTCCCAGAACATTAAAACCAACCTTAGCGATTTTAGTTATCAACAATGAATACATTTAATAAAATCTAAACAATCTTTTACTCACCTTCGCCTTTCCATGTCGTGAGAATCAATACCAGGAAGACTAATTGTTATTCCAGATGGAGCAACTACATCATGCTTTGGAAGCATTCTCTGACATATTCCAATTCTAACAAGGAACCCATGAATAGTATTACATACAACAGCAATTGGTGGCTGAAGAACATTAGGGAAGAAGCTAAAAACAAAAGAGGATATTGGTTATTATTCTGATAAATCAATAACAGGTTGTTATTAAGTCATTAAATTGTAATTTAATACATTCACAAACTTTACAGCAGCCCTTAAACATAAATTTTGCATAATTACTTGGGATATGTCCATAATTGGAATTAGAAAAATTATTTAAACAGAAGATATATTTTGGAAAGTCCAACCTGTACAGTATTAATGCACACACTGAGACAGCATTTACTAAGTTTTTAACATTTGTACTGCAAAGTCACGGCAAATGAAATAAAGCAAATTCCTTCTCACTTTGGAATTTTGCTTTGATATACAAATTAGGCAGGTGGAATTTGCAAGGTTCTTATAAGTACTAATTTAGGTTTTTGAAAAGAATTTTTGTTTTGTTTTATGAAGAATATGAGGGAGGGAGAGCTGCTTTTATAAATAATGTCAAGTTCTGGGATAAAAACTAAATGTGCTTGATAAGTATGTTTTTGATCATTGTTAGTAAATTTATGTAGAACCTTAAAAGCTGAATTAATTACAAAAGTTCAGTAACTTTTCCTTTAAGATGCAACTTTCCCTGCCATATTTCCATTCCATAACATTTAACACAAAATCTTAACAATAAATTGTAAAAACGTTTAGCATACAACTGGCTGAAGGAAATCATTACGTGAAAGTTACTTGATATTTCATGAGCGTGGTCAAGTGAGAGTATAATTAGTAAGCATATAATGATCTTTCACCCATTTGTAATAAGAGTTTCCTTATCTCTTTTAACATGTCATATTTTCAACAAATGTATGCCTTTACGATATAATACTACACTGGCAGAACTCATTATCACATCAGATGTAACAATGAACCATTTAACTTTCACTGCACATTCAGTGACTCTCAAAACTATTCTGACACAAGATTTTTTTTCAGAATAATCATGAATTAGCAATATTGAATAAATGTAATAAAGTATATTACATGATCACTTTCATACACAGTTATAATGTACTTACAGAAGCTTCATTAAATCATAAAAAGGAACTGATATTTTTAAATTTGAATTTTTTATGCTAAAAAGTTACCTCACCAAACTATTCAGACACTTTAACAGAAATATAAACAAATATGCACAGTAAATAATGTTCAAACAGAGAAACACGTTAAACAAATAACACAGTCAGAGAGTTCAATATGTTTTAGCCATCCCCTTTCACAGCAGCACCTCCTTCAGTGTATTTGGTGTACTTGTACAAGTTTTTTGATACAGGAAGGCAAAAAATTTTAAATTTTGTTTAGGAATGTCAAGATAGTTGAACATGTTCATTATTTGCTCTACTAACACAAGTTCACAAACAACCATTGGCTGTCATCCAGCCACACACCATTACATTTCCTCCTCCATGCTTGCTTGTATGATTCCTTCTTGGAGCTCTTCATTTGATTTCTTCCACATGAAAATTCTTCCATCGGAACCACAGATGTTAAATTTCAATTTGTCAATGAAGATTACTCTTTTCCATCAATCTTCATCTTTTTCTCTGAGTACACTAGCAAACTCCTGCCTTTACCTTCAGTTCGCTTTACTTATAAATGTCTTTCTTCTGGCAACGCGACTATGGAAATTTGATCTCCTTAGCACTCTTCATACGGTTTATGAATTTACTTTCTTGCCACTGCTAATTTCTAACTGTGCAGTAATTTTTTGGTGCTCTAATATGAGGATGATTCTTTATCATTTCCATGATGCGATTCTCGTCTCGAAAAGAAAATGACTTCCAGCGTCCTCTTTCGGGTTGCAATTTAATCCTATAGTTTTCATGTAGTGTGAGATTATGTTGCTCACTGCGCTTTTCTTCATTAATAGCATTTTTTGCAATTTTTGGGCATGATTTGCCCTTTGCCTGACGGTAAATAACAAACTAACACTGCTCGAAAGTGTTCTTTTTTTGCCACTCATTTCGCGTAACTATTAAGGTTCCCAGAAATCTGGCTGATCAACTGACAAGTGACCTTGAATGTGCAGCAAGGGTTCAAGGTTTCAAAATTATTTTTGGAGATCAAAAGATCTGTTACCATGTTGCACCAACGACTGTATGAATAGTTATGTTGAAGCCAAGCCTCTGCAACATCGATTCATTTTTCTTTTAATCAAACAAATACAAATTTTTGAAAGTATTTATAATGTTCACATACATAATAACATTTTATTATTTCAAATATGTGTGCTATCTAACTTTTATGTGGTTTTCTCAGGAAAATTTAAGCAATTTTTGATTAAATTAATAAACGTCTGAATAGTTTGGCAAGCAACTGTATAAGTAAATAGCACATAAAGGCAATAGGACAAAACATTTGTTCCTGAGAACGTTCAAAAAGAAAACTGAATAATTTTAATGGCTTCTTTCCTGATTTTAGTAAATTGATAAATATGTCAAGGTTTATTACTGCATGGTTTGAACTATCACATTCTAGTAAAATGCGACTGTTTATATGTAAAATTTTGGGAGGGATAGTATGTACTACATGTTGTATACTAGTAGAATCTTAAATATAAGGGTAACATATGTATACGAGGCAGATTTGGTACCATCGAATAGACATACAAAAAATGTTCATTACATCTGAACTCGAATTTAAAATAATATATATCTCAAAAGTTTACGCTAATATGATTATAATTTTAATGTCTCAAAGACTTTACACTAGTAGTCAGAAAAGATGTGAGTAGTGAAGGGTTAATGGAGGGGGAAAAAAATCTTGCCCAATATCTGAGACCTTAATTTGCTGCATTTTTTCTCGGTCCCTCTGATCGCCGGTTTTATGCTCTGTTGTGCCCCCTTGTGTTGGTTCACAATTTGTATTTGTTCAGTTCTGTATTCCTCCCAATAACTCTGTTTAGTAGGATGAAACAACTATCACTAACAACACTGCCTTCTAAAGTAGTGTTAAAATTTACATTTTATTTCTTTATAAGCTTTGAAACTTAGCTTTTACACAAGCTTCTTACAAGCCTCCAGTGACTTTGTGGTTAGGCGGAAGAGCGGGCCTGATGGCCCGAGCCTCGCCATATTAATAAAGGCATATTATTATATTATTACTTTACACACAGTAGCTTTTAATTATTTTCTAATCCGAGAGGTTGTACTTCATTCAGCTCTAAAACCTAGTGACGTTCTTGGTCTACACCTATATTTTCCTCCCTTTTTGTCACTTTCTCATTTCTTTCAGTTCTTTACATTCAGAATTTTCAGATCCTAAAGAATATCTTTTCTGAACTAATTTGTGGCTTTCCTTTTTATACACAAAGGCTTCTGTTTGTGATCTGCTTGGAGTCTCCATCAAAGTCCATTTTATCTGGACGTCCTCACTGAGCTATCATTTTAAATTTTACCTCTTTTCCCATTATTTTATTTACACTTCGAACTCGTTTGTTTTTCTTCTCCAATTTTGTTCGTTTGTTCAGTGGAGCAAAAAAGGTGTCTCTTAAATATTGGTATCATTTGCTCCAATGTTTTTAAAGATCCACATCTGTTTGAAATGACTGGTTTTATAATTGAAGAGAATAGCTGCATTTTGGGGTTTTTGCTCAGCAGTTTCAAAGTAAAATCATTCTTCTATACATGTTATGTTCAGCTACCAACTTCCATTTTCCACCAACTCCCACCAACAGGCACCAACTCCCATTTCCCCATTTCTGTGTTGATCTCATTCTTTGCATTAATGATTGTGTCTAGATATTTAAATGATGCAACATTCTGTACTTCAATATTTTCATTATTACATACATTTTGTGAACATTTCTTGAAATTTGTTTTTTCTTTTACCGTTAGTCCAGCTTCCTCAAATTCTTGTTTCAATGGGAGGAATGTCTCTTTCTGCCTCGTGATTCTTCTGGCTAACAATCAGCACATCATCAGCTTACGCAAGTATCTGCTTTCTGTTGATATATTGCCTCCTATATTGTTTATTTAATATAGTATCACATGGCTGAAAAGCGAGGTATAATAAACCCTTGATGAATGCCTAAGCTGAAATTGAGAAGTTACATAGTTAAAAATTAAAGAATGTAGCCATTACTAATAACGCAGCAATACCTGTAGATAGTAATTTTAGAATGTTTATATATTTGTTTCACATTACCACGAAGAGTACTACTCTCTAAATATATAAGTAATGAAGTAACGACAAACAGTATTAAGTTGATAAAATACCAGATAGATTGAATGTTTGTTTTGTGTCTTATGCTTTAGCGACAAAATTATTTGAAGTATTTCAAATTTTCGAAATTGACAAAACAAACAAAATTTATGAATGGTTACAAAGCCATTTATTGAACTATTAGCTAAAAGAAATAAAATTAACAATGATTCATAACGAATACTTAAATTTAAAGTTTGTCTTAAAAGAAAAAGTTTGTGTGGTTGAGCATCACCTCTAGTAACATCATTAACAGTTTACAAGTCAGACTTTTTTTTAAAATTTTTAAGCATACATTGTCTTTCATTTATATAATTACAGTAGAACATTGATAATCTACAATAATTGGCATTGGACACCTTCTGAATCCTGAAATTGTTCCGATTTTGAACAATTTCCGATGATGAACCAATAAAAGGCTTGGTAAACACTTCAACGTGAAAAAAAAAGTTGCTAAAATTGTTTGTAACACATTCTGATGGTTACAGAAGTGTGGTAAATGAATAAAACATTCATGAAGGAAATTTTAAAGTTTTCAATTAAGGAAGTACATACTGTACTGTAAATACAGCATTTCAAATACAGACCACCCTCTATTATGTACATTAAATCTAAGCCTACAACAAAATACAGAATGTACCTAAAAATGTACATACTATGTTTGGTATTCACATTTTTCTCTCTCTCTCTCTCTCTTTTTTTTTGGCCAGAATAGAATCCAAATTATTTATGTCAGAATAGATACTCTAGTGTTCTTAAAAATAATGTACACAACACTAATTTCCTCTCATGTGATGGGTATGTTTTCCTAGAATTCCTATAAGAAAGCTTTTCATTCAGTCACTTGATTTGACACACTTAATGCAATACAACTAGTTATTAATATTAAAACAAATAATGTACCTTCTTAAAGAAAGAGAAAACAATAACAATAAAATATGGGTATGGTGTACGTATAAATCCAGTTGTTTAATAGAGAGAATTAAATAAAAACTATTGAAAATGTTTACACAGATTGACAAATTTGATTAATAAGAAAAGAAAAACCACAAGGTGTCACTGCTAGAACTTGCTGCAATCACAAGAGATTAAATTATAAATGCGTAATTACAGTATTGGACAGTATTTTTGAGATTTTTTGGACATTTATTTTGGACACGCATTTAAATAGATAAAATTGATGAATTTTAAAATCTTTAAATACTTCATTAAAACAAAATAATCGTAGATCATATTTTTGCTTTCGTTTAAGAAATTCATGAAACAATTAGCCCAGATGTGCACGACTATCTTTATTGATTTTTTGAATTACGTTAATACAAAAATGTCAGTTTGTTATTGTGCAGAAATTTGTGACTCAATTATTAGTTTATTGTAATTGACAATTACAATACATTGTTGCAATAAAAAAGATATAATACAATTAATTGTATTCACTGTATTTTGAGTATTTCAAGTATTTTAAATACCTATGTATTTAACAACTCAAAAGCTAGTGTTCAGAATATATTTTTTAATACTTATTTAAAAAGTATTTCGGTGAAGTATTTAAAGGCTAAATTTGAAGTATTTTTCCCAACCCTGCATTGTAACAAAAATAAATGACTTAACAAGATAAACGAAGAACTACTAACGGAAAATTAGGTAAATTCAATTTAATTTACTGAAAGAAATTCAAGGACCGTCTTTTTCTAGAACATGCTACACATTTCAATACACAGTTATTCCTTTTTCTTACAATAGTCATATTATTGATATTGTAAAATTTAGCACATTCTAAAATGCACATTTAATAAGAAATGAAGAATGATCAGGAAAAATCTCCAAATAGGATTATTAATATTTTTATTAAGATGATTACTATTATTATTAATTACATGTCTCATTATCATACATTACCTGGCAAAGGAAAAGTTGTCAGCCATGTCTCCTTTTGTACCATTACTGTGCCGTTGATAAAAACGTAAGTAAGTCCAACTGACAAGAAGTCCTGACATGAACATAGTAGGATATGTGCCCTCAAGAACACCAACTGCCCATAACAGAAGTGACACACAGAAGACACTCAAAGGTACGTTGCGATTAGTTAGTTTTCCAAGAGGTGTTTTTAAAATTACATGATTTGGCATTATTTGCTTAACAGCAACTGATACACCGGCAATATAGCCTGCCAATCCATGTATGTGCACAGTGAAAAGGAGATCAGTATTAAATGTGCACATATATAAAATAAGGTAAAATAGTCCACTTAATATTGCTACACAAATATTCACTAACACAAAAAATGTCATCATTTCTAATGCACCCCATAACGGTTCGATTAATTTTCCACACAAGCCAACAGTTATTATGTCTACACATACTTCCCAAAAATGAAGTTCTAAAAAACAAAACGTCAATGAGGTCCATATCCATGACACTAGAGGAAACCCTGGGGTAAAACTAAGTAGTCGCACAGCGGGTTCTGAATATGACAGACAGTAACCACATAACACCACAACACAAATACATTTCACTGAAGTACTGGTATTGCCGAGAAGAGCAACGAATTGTTGAGTTATGAAAGGCATGTTCTTCGTCAGTCCTCGGCCTGAAGCCATGTTCAAAAAAAATTTGGGACAATTTCGCTATGCCCCGCAAATTCATTAATCACACGATGCATTCACGTCCAGTTGACAGGTCAAACCTGGATCTCCGATGGGTTGGATACGTGGGATGTATTAAATGAAAGCAATGTTGCCGGTGTTTCCAGGATGTAATCAACACTCCCCGCAACCTCTACAACGCACTGCCTGTTGGATTTCAAAGTAACACGTAGAAACAAAATAACACATTTACGCACTATTCCATCATGGAAATATTTTCTAAGATAAATAGTTCTTTATTCCAACGAAGAAAGAACAGTTATAATTAATCTACCTATATCGATTACATAATACAAGTGCAAAATTTAAAGGTGAAAACATGGGTGAAGTAAACTCCGTGAAAATCCAATATGATTTCCTGGTGTGTCATTTCCAAAAACCAGTTGACCTTCATGTAAAACTGATCATTCTATTTTTAGCGGATTTTTTTTCAGAGTGTAGTAATTATTTCGATATATATGTAACTAAAGCATCAAAATTCAAAAACAAGTGAAATTTAGGTAATAGGGCGCTGTAATGAACGAAGGCCTTATGGAAATATGATTTTCCGCTCGCATTCATTGGCACATCCGATAACTAGATTTTCTTTGATATAATTATCCGATCGGAGAAGTATTATCCGCGCACGTTCTATTTCGCATCTATTTTGTTAGATGTGAGAGGAGTGGCAGTTGGGGGAATTTTGACGACAGGACTATTATATCAAATCTGTACCTAGTAGCTCTTTTTCTATGCAAAATAATTTCAATTTAGCGAGCAAACATTTCTGGTAATTGGTGTTTGTCAACAACGCTCGTTGCTAACATGTATTCTTAATTTCAGCAATGTTAGTATAAAATAATGGGGATAAGTTTTCTGGGGCTCAAGAAAAGTGTAGATAAAGTAACAAATGGGCTATTTTTAAAGTTATAGTAACTTTTGGTCCATTGCTTCTTCATTGCTTTGGTAACTTCTGAATATAAAGTTAGGATATGTTATGAGTTTTTTGCGTGTTTTTCTAAGCGAATAATTTTGTATTCTTAATTTGTAGCAAAGCGCTTTTGTTTCTTTATTGCATGAAACAGTTAATGATGACATGATTATTTTGATGAACGAAATATTCTTCATAGAACGAAAGCGTGTTTAAATAATACAGTGCGAAATTCCGACAAAGTAATGATGCTGTCACGTCAAAGAATTTTGTTTGGTTTTCCTTTTTTTTAAAAAAAATTCTCTTGAAAGTACCATTCCTTCATGATTTTCTCTTTATTCTGAGTCAGTGTTAGGTTATGCCCAACAGTCGTGTTAATATTCAAATATGAAAAACCATTTCCCGTTTATCCTTTCGTTAGTGTTTCATTTTGGTAACTTTCTGTTAGTTCGTCTAGAGGACAAAAGCATAAAGTTCAAACACTGCTACGAAAGTCAGTTTCTAGTTGTTTCACGGAAGAAATGTTGAGCGGCTCTTTGGAGCTAAACCATCGAGCTAGTATATTCTAGCTCATTGAGCGAAACTTAATGCTGAGCTAAACCTAATGATTATCTAGTTTGGTAGGTTTTCCAATATATTCTCGACTTATTTGATATTTAAAGTAGTTTAAAGTAATTTGAATCACAATTATTTTAAAGTTCTCGATATATACAAAGAATATAGAGAATCTGTTCACAGTGGCAACGCTGTACGATGTGACGCGGTGTGCCGGGACATCGTTTGAACCAAGGTGAGATTTTAAGACGGAATTTGGCTGAATCAACCTCTAATTTCTTTATGTGCCATGTGAAATTTGGGACTCCATTGTTTTATTACTTTCTGGTCGTGCCCTACTATAAAATAAAGCGATAAACTTTGTGGTATGTTCTACAATTTATTGTTTTGGGTCTAATAACATATTAAATATTATTATTTTTTAACACATTTAAGGATATTGCGTTTCCGGAAGTGGATACATACTTGTCATCAATTTCATTGTGATTAGATGATTGGAAAAAGACAATGTTTACAATGCCAAAAATAATTAAGAATAATCCTGGGTGAATTGTTACCATGTTGGAAAGAGGATTGTTTGGAAGGTGGTTTCTTTCCGTCGAGATTGTTATTTCGATCCTAATTATTGCTTTCTACCTACGGAGTAGAGAGAAAGTTATGTAATACTGTGCGAAAAAACAGCGAATTTTCGTCAGAAAAACTCTTATTACAGGACCCTAGTAACGGCAAAGTGGATAAATGCAATAGCTAAATTTAGAAAAAAATACTATATCACGTAGTGTAGTCAGAATCCATATTGTTTGGGTGCTTGATACCGAAAAATCGTTTTTGATGTTTTCTACACATAAATATATTTTCTCAGAAACATTGATGGTTTTAAAAAAGTCTCATGATATAAATAAAATTTCCAGAACCTATTTTTTTATTTTCTCGCCCTTAAGGAGGTACTTTGCAAGAAGAGAAAGTTACGTAAACTTACGTCGGAAAACAGCGAATTTTCAGCAGAAAACCGGATACTGTTAACGAAAAAGTGGACAAACTCTATTGTTATTTACGGTAAATTACTTCCTTTAACTAATAGTGCAGCCAGAATTCATTATTTGTGGGTCTTTGATACAGAAAAATCGATTGACGGCAAAATGTCTATCCGTCCGTCTGTGGTCAATGCTAGCGCCTAAACACTTCAGCCAATTTTCTCCAAAATTTATATTCCCAATCGATCAAAGGATTTGAGGACTCAAGGATTTGAGAGTATAAAACGGATATTTTGATATTTGAGGTTACTTTACATAAAACATCAAAAAATATTCGAAATTTTCTCAAAAATGGCACACTTTTTATAAACTCTGTACCCGGATCGCGTAAAGGACACTTAAGAGAATGATGCTGGTCTCATGTCCGTTGAAATCGGCTGTCAAACTGGCACAACAACTATTGAATAAACCAGATGTAATATTTAGTACTAATTTCTTATTTAACATGCAATACACTGATTAGTGCGTAGGCTAGTCTCCAAATGCCTCTAACGCCTTGTTGTGAGACTAATCCTGAGCAAGTATGCCTAGGGTAGTTTGCCGTTACTTTCCCTAGGGGTGCTAGGGCGCCAATTTTGACGATTGATGTGAATACCAGATAGCGCAGGCCAAAATACAATATCCGCAATCGTATCCAGTAATTCCAATGGAATCTCGGATTGGTGCTAAATTGCTAGAGGTTTTAATTTTGCTAAGATCGGCCAAGTGCCTTGGATTTGTTTGACATACTGACAAGTGTCCACTCACATGCCGTCGATTTTTGGCTCCTCAAAAATCCCTCCGACTTGACCGGGTTTGAACGCGCGAACTGGGATCAGCAGCTCGCCATGATATTAGTACTAATTAGTACTAATTAGTATTAATACCCACTATACCATCAAAGCCGGTTCTATTACTAATATATAAATCCGAAATGAAATATATTACTCTTGCCTAAGTGTGGTTGTGCTGGCGCGACTGTCAAGCTGGCATAATCAAATTTAAACAAAATGTCCACAATCGATTCAAACTAATTCGAATTTTTAGTACTCATTTATTACCCAAATATGAAATTTATTACTGTTGCTGTTAATTAAATATTGTTAAAAACGGCATAGTTATGCAACCATACCAGACAATCGAGTATTATAATAGAGAGTACAAACGGGCACAATCAAATAAAACCCAATATCTAATTAAATACACTTTCAATACTAATTTATTACCCCAAACATAAATTCATTACTGTCGCCGTTTATTAAATAAATATTGTTCAAAGCTTAATCATAGTTATCCAACCATGACAGATATTCAAATATAATAATAGAGTATGGAACGAGCACAATCACACCAAACCAAATAGATAATAAAATACACATTCAATACCAATTGATTATCCCCAAAAGAAATATATTACTGTTGCCGTTTATTAAATAAACATTGTTAAATACGGAGTCGATTGTGCAACCATATCAGGCATTAGAGTGTGAAATAAAGAGTACAAAGGGGCAGAATCAAATAAAACCAAATATATAACACTAACCTACGAATTTAAACTTTCTGATCATTGCATAATGTTTAAGTAGTGATCTTTTATAATTCTAACATCCTAATTCCGTAATTGTTGTATTCTTAATTTTTATTGGATTGCTAAAGGTATAGAATAACACTGCACCATCCGATTCGTTCCATGGTTTTATTTGAACTAAAATTAAACTGTACAAGTTGCGTCAGGTAGGAAAAGAAACGTGCATCACCGTTATAATAAAGTGGAGAGTCAAGGCTCAGCTCCACTGTGCACCAATGAATATGAAGAGATGATGCCAATGCGTGACCACATGTTTTTTGTCATGAAATTTTCCTTTTCCTATAATGGTTTAAAAACGTTTTTGTTTTCTGTAGGTACACTTTCTTGAAGTAAGTTGTTTCTTTCTCAATAAAATAAAATTGTATTTTCATATATATGTATATCCAAATTGTGTGAGGTAGTAGACTGGGGAAGACCGGGGAGACAGAGTAAGCTTTCTGATATTTCGTACTATTCCCAGAAATCAGGAAAGCAAAAATACAACACTCTCAGTAAATTTCAACAAACGTGAATTTTTGGTATAAAGCGAAAAAAGGGAGATGTTAATACAAGTCAATAGTGGCCACTTACAGGTACCATCATCTTCCTAAATTGCAGTTCAATTGTCTAAACATTTTCCTGTCATTCTAAGATTTCCTCTCATTATCAGGAGTATTTTTGCGTGAAATAGTGGAAATGCGGTTTTGATCGATATACTCTAATGCTCTTAATTTGTTTTGTGGTAACTGAGGTAGCTGCCCTCTCTTTAACGTGCCAGCTAAAGGTTAGTTTGGTTGTCTGTAGTGTGTTGCTTAGATATCTGTACTCAGAGTTAGGCAGTATCGAAAATGCTTGGATTTAAAATACGCATTTTCGATACTTTTGTAATTTGTATTTTATATCGAAAATACATACATATACTGTAACCACCGACTCACCCGATTACCTGATTTCCTTCGGCGATTCAGCTTTGCCCGGCTGCTTCGTCGGCAGACTCCCTAGAGGGAGGCATGCGTGATTGTCTAAACTACTAGATAGAACGACAGACATTTTCTTAAATATTACCTTAATCAATACTTGATTCAATGCGGGTGAAGCCCAATGCCAGAAACAAAACTTACAATTAACTTACAAACTATTCTTAACTTAAAAAAAAGCCGGCATGGTCAGAGTTCATATCAGCTCCGTGGTTTTCGCCCTCCCGGGCGGTCGTGACCCAGCTTACAGGGGTGGCGTTCGGGCATCCCAGAGCCCGGCAGGTCAGGCGGTGGGGCAGCCGCAGTCGGTACTTGCCCCAAGGTTCCTTTGTGGCGACCACTCGGCGGCCGCGGTGGCGGCCCAGTCACCGGATTAGGCTAGCGGCGTTCGTTGACCGGACGGCGTCGCTCGGCGCGGGCGGGTGGCAGGGCCGCGCTCGGGCGATGGCAGGTCGCTTCGTGGTCGTGTCTCTCACGCTCCGGCTTGTACTCACTGTGCTCTTGCAGTCCGGCACTTGCATGTAGTGTCCCGTTCTATTGTTCGGCTTCCGT